TGGTTTTTTGGGGGTCTTTTCCCATATGTTCTGCTGTTCAGTTTAATGCTTTTTTTATTGCTTTACTATTTTGAGAAATGTAATCACGTTACTGTGTTATCTGAGGGGTCAACTGTAGATAAAGATTATAACCTCATAATTGCTGTTATGTACTGTTTTGCTCATTTTATTAGATGGATGATCAGGGGAGCTCAAACAACTGTGGCAGCAGCTCTGGCAGTGAGAAGGGTAGTGGGACTAGAATTACTAGATCTCAGCGGGGAGGAAATTCCAGCTCTACGGAAGAATCAACAACAGGTAATATAAGGGTGTTTTATTGTCCTTATTAAAATGCTAGACAGTTGTTTATATTGGCCTGGTTATAGACTGGGCTGCAGGGATGTTGATCCTCAAAACCCTCTCAAGGTATACTTGGGTAATGAGAAGTAATTTTAGTTTGCATAATTAGTGAGATAAGTTGCATGATTATTTAGTACTGTTAATGATGAGATACACCATAATCATTATTTGATTTGGGACAAAATTTTATTTACAGTGAAGGTTTAATTGTGTGGCAGTTGTCTTGCCATCTTTGTTGGCAGTCTTTGTTATATGTCCAGTCTAATATATATTTATGTGTTGGTAACTTAGAAGAAAGAGTTAAGTTTTAGTACATGCATGATTTATATTCAGTGTAGGTTTCTGATATTTTGCTTATTACTAACTTATTCTCATGTTATGAAGTTAATTTTCATACAAGGTGTCCAATGCCATTTCCTTAATCATTCCTTAAATTTGCATATAAATCTGTAGGGTAAGGAAGGCGGGGTAGGGGTCATCCTTGAAAAGGTTGGAGGGATGGGGTAAAGGAGGTTTTGTGGACAAGGGTCTTAGACTTCCAGCAACCGTGCATGAACATGTTAGGAGTGGATGGAGACAAGTAGTTTCTGGGACCTGATGAGCTGTTGGAATGTGAGCAGGGTAATATTTTGTGGAGGGATTCAGGGAAACCGATTAGCCGGGCTTAAGTCCTGGAAATGGGAAGTACAATGCCTGCACTTTAATGGAGGGTTTAGGATATTGGCCGTTTGGAGGGACGTTTAAACTGTCGTATCTGAGCGCCTCTGCAAAGAGAGTGATTATGTATGAGTGATGGTGAAAGCGTTGAATGATGAAAGTTTTTTTCTTTTTGGATTTTTCTGTCTTTTTGAGTCACCCTGCCTCAGTGGGAAATAGCCAGTGTGTTAAAAAAAAAAAATGTGCAGATGTATTGAACAAAATCTATCAAAATCTGCCTGAAAGTAAGTGTGTACTAACCAATTCCACAACAGTATAAAAAATAATAAAAATCAAACTTCTTTCAGCATCAACGTCTACAGTTAAACCTGAACCATCAGTGAAAGTAGAGGAATCAGCTCGTCCTACAACTAACATGGATGATGCAGTTCATCCACGAAAAAGAAAAATTAAGATGAAGGAGCCAGAAGTGGAGTCTCCTGTTGTTTCACTTGTTGATCAGCCAATGAGTAATTGCTATGAAACATTTCTCAGTATTAGGAAACAGGTAGGTGTAACCATAATCCATCATTTTATTTACCGTAAGACATTCATGCTCTTTTCATTTATATATATCAACACAAAAGCACACACCTACCTTATAGATCTGCTAGCAGTTGTTGACATGTATATATGCAATACATGAATATTTTTTTTTTCTAAACTGGAGAACTTTTATTATATAGTAGATATGTTGTAAGAATGATTTTTACAACAAAGTTTTTGTGATGAGACAGGTATGAAATTATGGCATAAATTATTATAGGATGCTATAAAACTTGTATAGGAATTGAATTTAATGACATCAGAGGATAGAAGAACCAGGAAAGATATGGTAACATATAGAATTGATTGGATTCAGGCCTGGAAGTAGCTTGACGCTGAATTTGAAGTCGCAGAAATATTAAATTTTTTCTCAATATTCCAGAAGATGGGTTAAGTTCTCCTATAACCCCCAGTCTGTTTTATGGGTTTTTATTTGGTCTGATTCAATTATTGAGACTGTAAACCATGAATATTCTTTCCTGGTTATATATTATCTGAGAAATAGAGTAAATTGTCTATTTTTTTGTATGAATAAAATTTAAATGGGAAAAAAAAATTTTTTTTTAAAAAGGGGTTTTTTAAAAAAACCCCCCTTTTTTTTTTTTTGGCCTTTAAAATTTTTTTTTTTTTTTAAAAAAAAATTTTTGGGGGGAAAAAAAATTTTTTTTAAAAGGGTTTTTTTTTTAAAAAAAATTTTTTTTTAATTTTTTTGGGGGGGGTTTTAAAAAAAAAATTTTTTAAAAAAAAAAAAAAATTTTTTAAAAAGGGTTTAAAAACCTTTAAAAAAAAAAAAAAAAATTTTTTTTTCCCCCCTTTTTTTAAAAAAAAGAAAAAATTTTTTTTTAAAAAAATTTTTTAAAAAAAAATTTTTGGTTTTTTTTAAAAAAAAAAATTTTGGGGAAAAAAAAGGGGTTTTTTTTTTTTAAAAAAGGATTTTTTTTTTTTTTTGGGGGGGGGGTTTTTAAAAGGGAAAAACCTTTTTTTTAAAATTTTTTTTTTAAAAATAAAAAAAAAAAAAAAAAGGGGGGGGGGGGCCCTTTTTTTTTTTTTTAAAAAAAAAAGGGGGGGGGGGGGGTTTTTTTTTTTAAAAAAAGGGGGGGTTTTTTAAAAAATTTTTTTTTTAAAAAAAAAAAAAAATTTTTTTTTTTTTTTTTTTATTTTTTTTTTTGGGGGGGGAAAAGGGGTTTTTTTGGGGGTTTTTTTTAAATTTTTTTTTGGGGAAAGGGGGGAAAAAATTTAAATTTTTTTTTTAAAAAAATTTTTTTTGGTTTTTTTTTATTTTTTTTTTTTTTTGGGATTGATTTTTAAAGGGGAAAAAGGGGGGGAAAAGGGGGGGAAAAAGGGGGGGGAAAGGGGGCGGGGGGGGAAAAAAAAAAAAAAATTAAAAAAAGGGGGGCCCCCCTTTTTTTTGGGGGGAAAGTTTTTGGGGGTTTTTTAAAGGGTTTTTTTTTTTTTTTTTGGGAAAAAAAGGGGGGGGGGGGGGCCCCCCCGGGGGGGGAAATTTTTTGGGGGTTTTTTTTTTTTTGGGGGGGGTTTGGGGGGGAAAAAAGGGGGGGGAAAACCCAAACAAGGGAATAAAAGGGGTTTTTGGGGGGGGGGGGAAAAAAATTTTTTTTTAAAATTGGAAAATTTTTAATTAAAAAAAACCGTTTTTTTTGGGGGGGGGTTTTAAAAAAAATTTTTTTAAAAAAAAATTTTAAAAAAGGGAAGGGGAAAATTTTTTTTTAAGGGGGGGGAAAATTTTAAAAAAAAAAAATTTTTTTTTTTTAATTTTAAAATTTTTTTTTTTTTTTTAAAAAATTTTTTTTTAAAAGGTTTTTGGTTTTTAAATGGGCCCCCCCCGGGGGAAAAAAAAAAAAAAAAAAAAAGGGGGTTTTTTAAAATTTTTTTTTAAAAAAACCCTTTTTTAAAAAAGGTTTTTTTACAAAAAAAAAAATTAAAAAATTTTAAATTTTAAAAAATTTTTTTAAAAAAAAATTTTTTTTTTTTTCCCCCCCCCCCCAAAAAAAAAAAACCCAAAAAATTTTTAAAATTTTTTAAAAACCCAAAAAAAAATTTTTTTTAAAAACCTTTTTTTTTTTCCCAAAATTTTTAAAATTTTTTTTTTTTTTCCCCCCCCCCCCTTTTTAAAAAAATTTTAAAAAAAAATTTTTTTCCCCCCCCCCTTTTTAAAAAAAAAAAACCCCCCCCCAAAAAAAAAAAGGTAAAAAAAAACCCCCCCAATTTTTTTTTTTTGGGGGGGGAAAAAAAAAAACCCCTTTTTCCCCCCTTTTTAAAAATTTTTAAAACCCAAAAAAACCCCCCCCCTTTTTTTTTAAAAATTTTTAAATTTTTTTTTTAAAACCCCTTTAAAACCCCCCACCCCCCCCTTTACCAAAAAAAACCTTTTTTTTTTTAAAAAAAACCCCCCCTTTTTTTTTTAAAAAATTTTTAAAAACCCCCCCCCCCCCTTTTTTTTAAACCCCCCCTTTTAAAAAATTTTTTTAAAAATTCCCCCAAAAAATTTTTAAAAATTCCCCCCCCCCCCCCCCAAAAACCTTTTTCCCCAAAAAATTTTTTTCCCCCAAAACCCCCCTTTTTTTTTTTTAAAAAAAAAAAGGGGGAAAATTCCCCCCCTTCCCCCAAAATTTTTTTACCCAAAAAAAAACCCCCCCCCCCCCCTTTTTAAAAAAATTAAAACCCCCATTAACCCCCCTTTTAAAAAAAATTTTTAAAATTTCCCCCAAAAAACCCCCCCCCCCCCCCCATAATTTTTTCCCCCCCCAAAAAAAACCCCCCCAAAAAAATTTTTAAATTTTAAAAAAAAAAAACCCCCCCCCCCCCCCCAAAAAAAAACCCCCCAAAATTTTTAAAAAAAATTTTCCCCAAAAAAATTTTTTCCCCCCCAAAAGGGAACAATAAAAACAAAACCCCCCCAAAAATTTTTTTTTTTTAAAATACCCCCCCCCCCCCCTTTTTTTCCCCCCTTTTTTCCCCCCCTTTTTTTGGGGTTTTTTTTTGGGGCCCCCCTTTTTTTTAAAAAAGGGGGGGGTTTTTTAAAAAAAATTTTTTTTTTTAAAAAAATTTTTGGGGGGGAAAAAAAAAATTTTTTTTGGGGTTTAACCCCTTTGGGGGTTTTTAAAAAGGGGAAAAACCCCCAAAAAAAGGGAAAGGGTAAAAAAAAGGGGGGGGAAAAAAACCCCTTTTGGGGGGAAAAAGCCAAATTTTTGGGTTTGAGGGGAAAAAATTTTTCCCTTTGAAAAAAAAATTTTGGGGGGTTTTTTAAAAAACCCCCGGGGGGGTTTTTGCCAAAAAAAAAAAAAAAACCCCCCAAAATTTTTTTTTTAAAAAAAATTTTAAAAAGGGGAAAAAGGGGGGTTTCCAAGGGGGGGGGGGGAAAATTTTTTTTTTCCCCTTTTTTTAAAAAAAAAAATTTTTTGGGAAACCCGGGGGGGAAAAATTTTTTTTTGGGGGGGGGGTTTGGGGGGGGGGGGGTTTTTTTTGGGGGTTTGGGGGGGGGGGGGGGGGGCCCCCCTTGGGGGCCCCCCCCCCCCCAAAAAACCCCCCCCGGGGGGGGGGGCCCCCCCTTTTAAAAAAACCCCCAAAGGGGGGGCCCCCAAAATTTTTTCCCCCCCCGGGCCCCAAAAAGGGAAAAAGCGGGGAAAAAAAGGGGCCCCCCCAAAATTTTTCCCCTTTTTTTTTTTTGGGGGCCCCCCCCCCCCCCTTTTCCCCTTTTTCCCCAACCCCCCCCCGGGGGAAAAAAAATTTTTTTTTTGGGCCCCCCGGTTTTTGGGGGGCCCAAAAAGGGGGTAAAAGGGGGGTTTTTTTTTTTCCCCCCAAATTTTTTTTTTTTTTTCGGGGTTTTTTTTTTTTTTTAAAAAAAGGGGAAAAGGGAGGGTTTTTTTGGGGGGGGGGGGGTTTGGGGGAGGGGGGGGGAAAAAAACCCTTTTTTTTTCCCCTTTTTTTTGGGGGGGGGGGGGCCCCCGGGGAACCCTTTTTTTTTGGGGGGGTTTTTTTTTAAAAAGGGCCCAAAATTTTTTTTTTTCCCCCCCCAAAAAAGGGGGCCCAAATTAAAAAAAAAAAAGGGGGCTTTTTTTTTTTAAAAAAACCCCCCTTTTTTACCAAAAAGGGGGGGGGTTTTTTTTCCCCTTTTTTTTTCCCCCCCAAAAAATTTAAAAAATTTTAAAAAAAAAATTTTTTTTTTTTGGTTTTTTTTTTAAAAATTTTGGAAAAAAAAATTTGGGAAAAAAAAACCTTTTTAAATTTTTTTTTGGGGTTTTTTTTAAAAAAAAAAAATTTTTTGGGGGGGGTTTTTTGGGGGGTTTGGGGGCCCGGGGGTTTTTTAAAAATTTGCCCCCCCCCCGGGGGTTTAAAAAAAACCCCTTTTTATATTTTTTGGGGGTTTCCCCCCCGGCCCCCAAAAGGGCCCCCGGGGGGTTTTTTTTTTAAAAAAACCCTTTTTTTTTTTTTTAAAATCGATTTTTTTAATTTTTTAAAAAAAAAAAATTTTAAGGTTTTTTTTGGGGGGGAAAAAAAAAAAAATTTTTTTTTTTTTTTTTTAAAAAAAATTTTTTTTAAAAAAAAGGGGGGGAAAAAAAGGGAAAAAAAAAAAACCCCAAAAAACCCCCTTTTTTTCCCCCCCCGGGGGGGGGTTTGTTTTTTTAAAAAAAAAAAAATTTTTTTTTAAAAATTTTAAATTTTTTAAACCCCTTTTTAAAAAATTTTTTTCCCCCCCCCCTTTTTTGGGGGTTTAAAAAAAATTTTTTTGAATAAAAAAAAAAAACCCCCCCCCCGGGGGGGGAAAAACCAAAAAACCAAAAATTTTTTTTCCCCCCCGGGGGGGGAAAAAATTTGGCCAAAAAAAAAAAAAAAAAATTTTTTTTTCCCCCCAATTTTTTTTAAAAAAAATTTTTTTCCCCCTTTTTTTTTTTTTAAAAAAAAACCCCCCCTTTTTTAATTTGGGGGGGGCCAATAAAAAAAAAAATTTTTGGGTTTTTTGGGGGGGGGCCCCCCCAAGGGAAAAAGGGGGGGGTTTTTTTTAAAAAACCCTTTTTTTTTTGGGGGGGGGTTTTTTTTTTTCCCCCCCCCTTTTGGGAAAAAATTTTTTTTTTTTTTTAAAAAAAAACCCCTTTTTTTTAAAAAACCGGTTTT